CGGGAGCATCCTGGCCCGTCACCATCCGATGGCCGCGGAAGGGGCACCCGAGCACTCGCAGGTGGTTGGTGCCGCTGCCGCTCGCCCCCCGCCCTTCTCTGTTCTCCCCTGTCCCCGTTTGCCTTTTCGCCCCCCCCTTGTAACCTGCTGCTGTCAGGTAACTTCCACATTCTGCTCTCTAGGAGGTGGAAACCCGGGGGGTGGCTTTCACACCTACCCGTGTGAAACACCACGCCATCTCCTCGGGGGTGCGTGGAGAATGTGACCTGTCCCCCGCGTGGTGTCACTCGGAGCTGCCCCTCCGTAAAGACGTGGTTCCATCTCAAAAACCCACAGAGCTGGAGGATCTTACCGGCTCCCACGTTGTTATCTTTTCCCTGAAGGAGCCTGTAAGCGCAGCAAAACCAAGTCGTTGGTGTCTGTAAAGGACGCGATTTGCGAAGGCGCAGGCACGACGCCTTGTAAAGGTCTGCGAAAAGTAAACAGAAAAGAATAACTCGTAAAATGCTGCCAGCGCCCCGGCATTGTAAAAAGGGGAGGTGTGTGTCTCACCTGTATTTGTCTGCAATTTCTAGTAAAAGTTACAAGACTTGGTTACCTTGCTGCGAGTGACCAGGAGAACTAAGATTAAGAGGTGGTTTTACACTTGAAATCTTTGCGTTTTAATGCAGTTTAGAAAGTAGAGATGGGTGGTCAAATACACCCTGAAACTGTGCTACCGGTCAGAAGTGGCGTGCTCTGATGTATTTATTTAGTTAGAGAATCCAGTGTGTAAATATAGGATATTTACACTAGGGTGGTTGTTACTTTTTAAAATCATTTTAAAATTAGAACTTGTTCGAAGGCAGTGGTCCGCTGGATTTTGCCAGATTTCCCTGTGACAGCGCCTCGTAAAAGCAAGAGTGCTTAAAAGCAGCTGAATGCCTTTTTTTCTCCTTCCTCAATTGCTCCGTGATTGGGATGGCTTTTGGGATTTTCATAAATTTCACAGCAGGGGGGGACAGCAGGCAACTGGTGGAGTTCTTTCTGCAAGGGTCATAGGAAGAGGGGCTTCTGGATTAGCTGTTTCAGTGTGATATTTCTGAATTTTTAACATTTATTAAAGATGGGCTATATTGGGAGAAACAAACACTTGCAGTACTGCCTGAAGTTGCGGTTTTTGAGGCATCATGTTTCTTAAGTTTCCTTCCCTCTTATTTTCAGATCAAAAATGTTCAAAACAGGAAGTTTGACTTGCACCTTGTATTTTGTAAGACTTTTCCCTACTTAGTCCTGGTTTAGACAACTGGGCTGTTGGCGTTTGTTGTTAAAATCTGAACTCGGTGATTCAGCATCACTTAATGGATTGCAGCTCTTGTTTGAAGGTGGTTTGTCATTTATAATGTTAAATGTTTCCTCCCTTTTTCTTTCCTAACAGCCATGGCAATGACAGGCCCAACGCCATGCTCGTCCATGAGTAATCACACCAAGGAGCGAGTTACGATGACAAAGGTGACGTTAGAAAACTTCTACAGCAACCTCATCGCGCAGCATGAAGAACGAGAGATGAGGTAAAAAAAACCCTTTCTTGCTTCCTTTCCAAACTGGGTGAGAGCCAAAAATATATATTAACTGCACGTACTTTTCTGGAGCCAAAGCGAAAATAGAACGTTTTTGCTGCGTGTACCTAAGCTCCCTGGATGGGGCCTGGCACGAGCATCCGGAGGCGGCTGCTGGGTTTCTGAATCCCATGGTCGTTTAGGCTGCAGCTTTTTGAGTTTCTTCTGAAATGAACTGAAAAAAGGCAAAGTGAGGTGACTGTTCCCCAGTTTTAAAAAAAACGATGTATTTGATTAAGCGGCTAAGTAGAAACTAACTTTGGGATGTGCTTGGGATGATTCGAGGGCAGCTCTGAAGTCGAAAGCCGACCTTTACAAACGTTTGTCCTGCCTGTGTCTGTTCTGTGGCCTCTTCCCATTTTATGTCCCCCCGGTTGTAGTGTTTAAAACTCATTCTAGAGCATCAGTTCCCGTTGGGATTATGCTGTGTGATCGAGTCGGCTGGTAAAGGACGATCATCTTGTCAAAAGCAGTGACAGATTGCTGTACGGGCTGTCACGTCCCGCTAACTTCTTGTCTGTGAGTTAGCTGAACCTATGGCATCTCTTTAAATCTATCCGTCAAAATATAACAAGCGATTTAACTGACAAGTATTACTTTTACTTTCCTTTGCCTGGAACCCTCTAATTTGCTGAATACCCTCGAGTTGTAGCACTGGGACTTGTGATGTTCTCCCAGCTTGCCGTGTAGCCTGTAATCAGAATTTTCAAAAAGGTTCAGTGTTTGTTCGCTTGTGGCCTTGCTGCCAAAACCCTCACTGGATCCAAGAGGAATGCCTGCTAACGGCAATAACTGCAGAAATGAGGAAGCAATTTAGAAATAAATACTAACTTGCATACGTACTTTCTTCAAAATTAGTGAGGAGAGATTGAGGTCTAATCCAAACAGAAAATATCGCTGATTTAATTCCTTTCTTTCTCTTTGCATAGCTCTTGCTTTTTATTGAGTGCTATTGTCTGCTCCTCAAACCTCAAGGACAGGGTTTTTTTCTGTTTAGGATCAAGACTTTGCCTGAACAAACATACACGACTTCACAAGTTACATGTTTTTTTTTTTAACAATAGATGAGTCTGTGGATGCGCAACTTGGAGGGGACAAACTGTGCACGGACGTGCAGATAGGACCTGCTGTGGATATTTGGGGGAATTTCAGTCACGCGGAGCTGTTTAATTCTGCGTATCGCAGCGGTCGTCTTTTCGCTACTGGAGTCACTGCTTTGAGTGTGAAATGAGATGAGCGGCCAGGCCTCGCTGGCTGCTTAAGTCAGGGCAAAGCGATTTAAATGTGCCCGATTGTGAGGCGATAACCCAAAAAACTATCGCGTCGTAGCAGCTGCGTAGTGGCGCAGGAGACAGGAAGAGGATCTTGCAAAGAATGACTTGCATAAAGAGAAGGAATTTTTTTAGTACGTTTGTAATGTTATACCAATAAAAACACACATGGAGAGAAAAAACCCCATAAATGCCAATCCCAGTTCAGCCAGTAATTAAAGTGATCGGTGTTAGGAAAAAGTTCCCAGAAGGGAATCGTAACAAATGTCCCCTGAAGCCATCCCCCCTCTGAAGTCTTGTTTCCTTTTTTCTTTTCTCCCAGGAAATCGTTTGTACTAAGGCTGTAAATATTCCTGATTCTTTAAGGGGGAGGATGGGTACAGACATGTTTCCTCTTCCCAAATGTTTTGAGTATCTCAGGTATTAGGAAATAAAAAGTAACTTTTCTCATTTTGTGTGTGGTGAGTTTGAAATCGGAGAAATTACAGTGCAGATCCACAGATGTGTTTAAATAGCCAGTTCTCCCTGGAATAAGTGAGAATTGGGTGTTTAAATATTTGTTATGGCTCTGGCCTTAAGCGTCTTGCCCAGCTGTCAAAGAGAGAGACAAGAATTGAACCCAGATCTCCTCAATCTACGTTCGTATACAGCGAAAACGTGCACTTGAGGTAGATGTGAAACTCCAGGCAGGTTTAGATTGTCAGAATTAGAGAGGACAAGGCTAGAATGGTAAAGCTGTAATACTAGATTCTTCAAAATTAATCTAATGTCTGAGTCTCCCTTATATATCGTTTACACTTGTTACTTGCTGCCATTGCATCCTCCTTGCACAGCAAGCATGGACCAGAGGGGCTGGATATGTGCATGTGGTTGAGGAACAAGGTTAATGATTCAACTTTATTTTTCTCCTTTTCTCTGCTATAGACAAAAAAAACTAGAACAGATGATGGAAGAAGAAGGCTTAAAAGATGAAGAGGTAACAAATATGAGAAAATTGTTTTAATGGTTAAATACAAGTGATTTTTCTTTTATAAATGGAGATCTGGGATCTTGGAATTGCTGTGATCTCTGTGGAGCCCACCTACAGGATTCTCACTGTGTTTTGTTGTTTTTTTTTTTCCTTAAACGCTAGAAAAGAATCAGGAGGTCAGCACATGCACAGAAGGAAACAGAGTTCCTTCGCCTGAAGAGAACGAGGCTTGGTTTGGAAGACTTTGAGTCTTTAAAAGTCATAGGCAGAGGAGCATTTGGAGAGGTGAGTCCAGAAAAGATGACTAAAGGTATTTTTAATGGCATTTCTTAAAGACTTTATACCAGTGAAAGATAAATGTTGTAACAACGGCAGAGGGGTTTTTAGCTTAACAGTACATGCATCTGTCTTCATGCCTGGTAAATGCTGGTTTAAAAACATGGTGTGCTTTAAAGGAACGTGAATGCTGTTGGAAAGGACTTGCTGGGCAAGCTGCACACGAGTTTGGCAGCGTGCTTTAACTCGGCCCTCCCAGGGCTCGCCTTATGGACAGGGAGAGCTGGAGGGCCGCCTGCAGTAGTCTTCAGGCGGGCACCTTCTGAGAAGGGGCCTTGGGACTTCCCTGCTTCAGGTGTACGATGGCTCAACTCTGTTACAATTATTTCATCTCTTAGAATGAACACAGCTTGTTTACCATTACTGTGCACTATGTAATGCTTTTTGTTTTTTTTATAATCTGATGGGATTTCATTAAAAGGGGGCTTGATACCCAAATCTGTCAAGAGTTGTAGTGATAATGCTGTATTTGACTGAAATTTTTGCATCATTCCTAGGTGCGACTGGTCCAGAAGAAAGATACGGGGCATGTTTATGCGATGAAAATACTGCGTAAAGCTGATATGCTTGAAAAAGAGCAGGTGAAGACACCTTGAGTAACAATGCTACCAGCTATGTTTTAGATGACTGTGGGAGGTAGTTGGGACGTGCAGAGAGTAACAGGCATCTGTGGAATAGGTTCACCAGCTAAAAATTATGTGGGTTTTTTTTTTCCCTATTTTTTTATGGAGGAAAATGGGTCAGAAGAATCTTGTATGAATTCGTAAGGTCCTGTCTTCTAGTGGGCCTTTCAGGTCGTCTTAAAAATAATTTATTTATTTAACGAAAACATTTCTTGTAACAATGCAAAAGTTTAAGGAATATATAGTTTTCACCTAAACAGGGTTACAGTAGTAGTTACAGGCTCCTGTATGTAACTAAATGCTCAGAACAGTGTTTCAAACGACCTCTGATGCCTTGCTCAGTCTTAATGGGAACTGCAATTGTGATGCCTTTTCTAAGAGGCTCTTCAGTCTGAAGCAAGGTAGGACTGAGGTTGCTTTCTACTTGAGAACGTGGCAAGCAGAGCATTTTTCAGAGGACTAGGTTTGTCTTTCTCCAGTGAGAGAGAAGGATGGTTCTACAGATCTGATTTGTGTTGTTCCTCCTCATTTTACGATGACGTATGTTACACGTGCAGATGTTTCAGTACAGATGTCGAGGTCAGTGTGTTAGTGCATTTCTGATTTGTGGAATCAGATATAAATATCAAAGTGACACGACTGCTGAGACCCCCCCTGCAGTGCTGTGTCCAGCTCTGGGCCCCTCAGCGTAACAAAGACACAGACCTGCTCGAGCGGGTCCAGAGGAGGCCACGAAGATGCTCAGGGGCTGGAGCAGCTCCCCTGTGAGGACAGGCTGAGAGAGCTGGGGGTGTTCAGCCTGGAGAGGAGAAGGCTCCAGGGAGACCTTCCAGTACCTAAAGGGGCCGACAAGAAAGCTGGGGAGGGGTTTATTACAAGGGCATGTAGGGATAGGACAAGGGGTAATGGTTTCAAACTGAAAGAGGGGAGATTTAGATCAGATATTGGGAGGAAATTCTTCCCTGTGAGGGCGGTGAGGCACTGGCACAGGCTGCCCAGAGAAGCTGTGGCTGCCCCATCCCTGAAGTGCTCAAGGCCAGGTTGGATGGGGCTGGGAGCAACCTGGTCTGGTGGGAGGTGTCCCTGCCCATGGCAGGGGGGGGGGACTGGGGGGTCTTCAGGGTCTCTTCCCACCCAACCCATCCTGTAATTCTATGAATTCTGACTCGGAGACATAAAGGAGCGGCATTCAACATTTTTAAGGGTTTCCTTTCCCAGGACTTCTGGGAATATAATGGTCTGAGAAAATAATTTCTTGCTCAGCACTGGGAAGCATCTAGGAGGCGCTGTGTGTGTGTGCCTGGAATCAGGAACTGGTTTCCATTTCTGAAGGTACTTGGTGAAAAACCAAACAGCGGTGTGTTCTCACGTGAGCTTTGTGCAGCACTGCTAAATTAGTGCTTTGGTCTAAATCTGGGAATAGGCTGAAGCTGTAGCTGAAGGACATGTTTAGAGGAGAGCTAGGTTTTTAAAGATCTGATTGTTAGATATTTTTGTAAAGAATTGAGGTATTTTTGTATATAAGATTAACCTGGTTTTATAATCAACCGCACGTTTATCCTCCTGAATCTTCCTGCAGAAATAAATTGTTTTCTGGAGTGGTCTGTTATCTAAGTGGTTTTAAGATAAGTGTTTTCATAGTGTCCATATCACTTGTACAGTTCTGATTTGAAGGGGACCCAAATGCCATAAGAATTGAAAGAATAAAAATCTAAATGTAGGTGTTATTTCTGTACAGAACCTTGTTGTTCAGGAGGGTGGTTTAAATTTCTCTAGCTTGAGTTTTTGCTTAAAAGAATGAGGTTAGTGCTCTCTTGTCCTCCTACATATGTCTCAATTTATGGCAGCAAAAGTCACACAATAAGTATAAAAGTTACTCAAGTGTAAATGTCCAAAGGCAAAAGTCCCCATAAACTTTCCAGTGGAAACTTTTGAATGTAAAAATGTCTTTCAGATCTTCATGCTGAGGAGTCAAATGGAGTTGGTGTTCAATGGGATTTATCAGATAGGAAAACCCCCCCCACATTCTGGAAAAATACAGTGGTTTAATGAAAGCTTCTCGCCTTTTTGCTGTCAGAAGTGTGACTTTTGGATTTGATTTTGAATGTGTTACGCTATTTTACTACCCGAAAATATTGAGGGGTGTAGCTATTGAAGTTTTGATGGTGTTTCTGCCCTTATGCAGAAGTTTGACTGCTGTCGTTTCAATATTTGATGCTTTTCAGTACATGAATTGTCCATGAAATAAATGCAGGTAATAAAACATAGACTTGTAATTAATCAAATGTGTATGTGTATCTCCAGGTTGGCCATATTCGTGCGGAGCGGGACATTCTGGTGGAGGCAGACAGCTTGTGGGTTGTGAAAATGTTCTACAGTTTTCAGGACAAGCTAAACCTCTACCTGATCATGGAGTTCCTGCCTGGAGGTAACTACCTGAAATCAAAAAGCTGCTTTCCTTCTGTTTGGAGCTTTCTAACTTCTTAATTACAAATGTAGTCTGGGACGAGAGCGTACGTGGTTACCGTGCAGTGGTGTTTGTACTGGACGTGACTTGGTGAGGAAATAGGTCACTGTAAAGCTTTCTGCTTTTAGGAGGTGGGGTACTGAGGTCGTTGGGTCAGGCTTGAGCTTATCTGCTTGGGTCTTTTAGCTGCAGAGGTTTGAATCTTGGCCTTAATACTCTGCTAGTTCTTATCCTTACTGTGCACTGGCTATCTATAGAACCATAACATCACCAGGGTTTGATTTTCTAACATTTTGCTTTTAGCTGGCTTGCAGCAGAAGTAGCTTTTAGGGTCTGTTTTTCAGAGGATGATGATGTTTGACCTTGAATGCTAATGCTACTGTAATTCCCTTAAGAAGAAGGTTATACTGAAAGCCTGTAGTACGTGTGATTAATGAAACCACAGGAATGCTTTCTGAGATGACACTGCACAAATACAATCTGGTTTTTGTAACAGCTCTGTAGCTGCAAGTATCTGTTTTAATCTGTGATTCAGATGGGTAGTCAAGAGTGGCAGCCCATGGCTGACTCGTGTTTAAGGGATGCTTCGAGACTGCTATTTCATCTTTATGCTGCTTAGCTGCCTCAGTAAGTTTGATGCAACTATAGTACAAGCCTGTCCACATACAGTGATACAAGGGAAAATACAGAAATTTGTCACAGAGGTGCTGGGGAACTGTACTGCTTTATAGGAAATCGGTTTGGATTTCCTGAGGTGTTAAATACTTAGTTCTTTTCTTTGTAAATGTCTTCAAAATCAGCGAGAGTGGAGTTTGTGTGTTCGCTTGTATTTACTTTGCTACTTGGGGGGGCTTCTAGGTGATATGATGACTCTGCTGATGAAAAAAGACACTCTAACAGAAGAAGAGACACAGTTCTACATAGCCGAGACCGTGCTAGCCATTGATTCTATTCACCAGCTGGGTTTTATCCATCGGGACATAAAACCAGACAACCTTCTCCTGGATAGCAAGGTGCGTACTAACTGCTGGCCCGTCCTGGGTAGTACCAAATTGGTCTTGTAATGGTTAATATTGACCTGAACTGGTGTCGACAATTGTGAAAGAAGACAGTGCTTCTTTCTTAGCCCTGTTCCCTCTAGCTTTGAGGGCTTATCTGCCATATTGCTGGGGAAAAAAAAAAAAACAAGCGAAGAGACACCTCTCCTCCACGTCCAGCTGTATTCATTCCTCACTTAGGAGCCCTCTTCTGACAGTTGTTTAAGTTATTTTTGGTTATTTCAGCTGCAATATAAAATACAGTTTCAGTTCTCCCCTTTTAGTCAAAGATGTTTCCTTTCGGTCTCACGTCGGTTAGGTTCGTGCTCGCCAGCTTGTGGGTAGGTGATCCTATCACATGCGAAGGAGGAGCTGTTCCATTAGCGAGACTGAAAACGGAGATAGGATCTCCCTCGGAATCAGGACGGATTTCTGAAGGCTGGCCAGGCCACCTGATTGCTTCTAGAGGGTTATTGCAGGCGGTGTGCGGAAAGCTGGACTGTTCCACTAGCCTCCTATGGCTCACTACAAGTTTGCTTTAAATTTAGCTCGTTTGGAAAAAGTTTGCCAACAGTAAATAATTACACTTTACCCCAAGCCAGGTAATGAGGCACCGTTGGAATGACTGATGTAATTCACTATGTCTACATCTAGATGTAGATAAATTCAGGACTTTGAAAAGGAGGTGTGTTTTAGATGGACATCTAAAAATTGCCCCCAGTCAGCGTGGTCGCATGTTACGCGCCAGGACAGATCCAGTCACTGAGTGGAAGGTGTTTCCAATGGAGTCAACGCACAATCCAGGGACTGCAGCTCCCTCTGGAGATGTTGGCTTTCACTCCGAAGTGGTCAGGAGCTTGCAGGAGCAGAGGTTTCTGAAAGTAAATGGCTACCGGCCGTTCTCCGTGTAGTCGTGATGAGAGCAGAAGTAGCTTGATTCTACACACCCAGCCTTAGGCTAAAACAAGGAATGCAAAAAGAGCATCGATTTATTACACAAAGTAAAGGGAGGGGAAGAAGTAGAAGAGTTTATTTGCTGCGATAATGCCTCACACTGGTTTTGTATTTTGGTTTTGTTTGTTTCTAGGGTCATGTGAAACTCTCAGATTTTGGTCTGTGTACTGGACTAAAGAAAGCCCACAGAACAGAATTTTACAGAAACTTGAACCATAGTCTTCCTAGTGACTTCAGTAAGTTATCTGGCTTCAGAAGGGTATCTGTGTGCTTGCTCTTGGTGCCTGACATAACTTGTTTCAGTGTGAGGCCAGAAGGCCACAGTGGGGGGGGTCTAATAATCAACATTGCATCTTGAGGTGTAACTTTGATTTTTCTGTAAAATGTCTTTATAAAAATAATTTCAGTTACTTTAATGTACAAAAGCATCTTCGTTCCCAGACGTTTGTCTTTGAAATAAGACTCTGCTGTAGCCCTTTCTCACATGTGTAATAAACCTCAAATGAAAACTCAGCGTGACTTGGTAGGTGCTGGCTGTACCTCACGTGTTACCTAAATCAGTAAGTGAGCACACGGTCTCTTTGAATACTCAGTAATTTTCTCAGGGGGAAGAGCTTTGATCATGCAGTTAAAAAAAAAACCAACCCTGAAAGCATGGCTCATTACTGAAAGGCTTGATAAAGTTGTCTCCATATTGCATAGGTTTGGAGGTTGCTGATGGGTTTAGGGTATTGACAGATGTGCTCTTTGCAACCATCCGTGCCGCTGGGAGAGGTGACGTCCCCGGCTTCGCCCTTGTCGGCTGCCGCTGCCTGCTAGGGGCCGCTCACCGCTCTGCTCTGCCGTTGCAGGCACCCGTAGGTTGGGCCAGGGAAGCTGAGGCAGGTTAATGAGTTCATCTCTGCTGAGGTGGCTTATCTTCAGTGAGGTGCATTAAGGTGTGCTTCCACAAGCAGCTCCAGCTTCACCGTGGTGGTAAACTTTGGCCAGTGATGAGCATCTGGGGACTGTAACCTCTTACCAGGAGAGCTGATACAAACCAGACTGTCTGTCCAGGCCCTGGCTGCCTTTTTTGATGTTGAAAAAGATTGTTAGTGTAATGGTTTTGGGGTAAAAATGTCTGTTGGGTGACCAGTAGGATTGTCACGTATATTCCAATCTCCTTTAGCTTTCCAGAACATGAATTCCAAAAGGAAAGCAGAGACTTGGAAGAGGAATAGACGGCAGTTGGTAAGTGCGTTTCACCTGCTTGGAAATGTTCTCTGCTGAGCTGTTGCATTCAAATGGCGTACGTAGTTAAATGGCAGGCCTTAATCCATTTCAGAGTGCTGAGCAATGCTGAAATAAAAAGATTTGTGCTTTTTCTTTTAAAAAGAGGAACGACTCCAGTTTGTCCTTCGTCAGTCTGCTGAACAGCTGGTGACATATATGCCCGAGATAGCACTGCCATAATTATTTACATCGATATCTGATGCCTCCCAGCTAAAATGAACAGTTCTTGCCACTTTGAGTATAACAAAGGGCTGATGACCCGTTCCAAGGTGTATATAGACAGCGGTACCTTTCCCCATGTCCCTGATGGTATTTTAAGACTCCTTCACATGAACGTGTTGATTTTGTCTCTACGTATCTTGAAATAAAGGCTTAAACAACTTTGCTAAAGGATCTTAGAGACAATCTGGTGTGTTCCTCAAAATAACCGTTGTTGCATAAGTTCCCACTTCCATTTCAGGCAGTTTTCTCTAAAGATAACTGATGGTATTTGTTCCAGGCTTTTTCTACTGTGGGTACTCCGGATTACATTGCCCCTGAAGTTTTCATGCAGACTGGATACAACAAGCTTTGCGACTGGTGGTCGCTTGGGGTCATCATGTACGAGATGTTGATTGGTAAGAAGCTGGCAGGGCACAAGTTTTAAGCAGGAATTGCCGTGTAGGACATCAGCTGTATTTCTGTGCTTGGGGTCAGGTTCTCAAAGCATCTGCTTCTTGCGTGGTTTGTGAGGTTTGTTCTGGTGCATGGTAGACTTTGGGAACTACAGGAACTATTTTTGCTTTATACAAGATTGTATTTTTCTTTTCAGGTTATCCACCGTTCTGCTCTGAGACTCCTCAAGAAACGTACAAGAAAGTAATGAATTGGAAAGAGACTCTGACATTTCCTCCGGAAGTTCCAATATCTGATAAAGCAAAGGATCTTATTTTAAGGTGCCAGCCATATGGTTTGCCAATTCATATCGTACTAATTTTCTTGTCTTGCAAACTATGCTATGTATCTCTCATAGCTTGCTTCACATGGAAAAAACCCTGATGCTACTGTTATGCACGTGCATCAAATGCTGAACTCCCTAGTCAAATACATTTGTCTCTCAGAGGTCATTTAGTGGAGCCCCGACTGAACTGTGCTCAAGAGGAGCTCCCACGTAAGTGCTGCTAGTCTGGCAAAATACAAATGTTTCTGCTCTTTGTCTGTGAGCTGCTTGGGGAAGCAACTCAATCTTTTTGCCAGAGCTGGCTTCTTACAATAGCACTGGTTTTGACATTGTATGCACTGGAGCATACAAACATCTCCCAGTGCGTGCTGACTCTTGCTCTTTCATTTATATTTTCAATCACTTATCTATTCTCAGGACAGAAATATAAATGTCTAGCTTTTTAGGCTTTATATGTTCTCTACACTGGTCCTGAAATAGAAAGGGCACATTATCCTGTTGTGAAAGAACACCACATCTTAATTGTAGCATTTGACATGACATTCCCAAGCAGAGCTTTGTGTGTTGGTTTTGCAGTGGGAGTTCTTAACCTTCTCCATTTATATGTGACGAAACCGTAGTAGTATCAGTTCAGAAAGCCGTTCCATTTCTGGATGGAAAGCTTTCGTTTTCATTCTTCCTTCATTTTCATTCTTCCTTCCATCCCAGATTTTGCTGTGAATGGGAGCACAGAATTGGTGCATCTGGTGTGGAGGAAATAAAGAGTAACCCATTCTTTGAAGGGGTTGATTGGGAACATATCAGGTAAGAGGCTTTGCAGAAAAGCAAGCTGCTCTTCTCTCTGGACTGTTCAGAGCTAGTCCTGTTCAGCAGAAGGGAGCAGCTTCACTGGCATTTATTATATCTAGGTGTGGGTGAGAGTATTTTGTTCCTTATCTGAAGCTTGCCAAGGTTTAGGTACCTTCAGTCTTTGATTCTGTTAAGAAATGGAAAGGGGCTGAATCCTGCTTTCTTCTGCCTTGCAAATCTTAATACTGAATCTGCTTTTCTTGGCAGAGAGAGACCTGCTGCAATTTCGATAGAAATTAAAAGCATTGATGATACCTCAAACTTTGATGAATTTCCGGAATCTGATATCCTTAAACCAACAGGTAAATGCTTGGATTCTGCACGGAAACAATCCTTCCTCTTCTCCAGTGGAATAACGTAACTGTCCTGTTAACCAGAGAAAGGATCTTGCTAGGTGCTGGGGTGGGTTTTTCATCACAATCAAATTGTTAGCTCAGAGGTCTTGTGGTGCAGGAGTGTGCAAGCTCTGGTCTGGGTTTCAGGAGATGAGATGCAGAGTTGTGAACGGTGCGGGAGCCACCTCAGAAAGGGCATCTCTGAGAGGCAGCAGGGCTCCCAGCAAGTTCAAATCTCAGCAGGATCTGTGAGCCCAACACTGTGACACTCCTTGCTACTGGCTAAGTCTTGCTGGCGTGTCTAACGCTTAGTATGAGGGGTAGGGAGAGGGTGGGACAGAAGGGGGTGTAAATTCCTAAAAGATCCTTGTATTTACATGTCAAGACATAGCTGCCTTTGCTCCATGTGTTTAAAAAATGTTACAGCAGTTCTTGAGTGGGGTTGAATTCTGTAGGCAAATAAACTTTGCGGTCTTCAAAGGATAATTTTATTTGTTCTATGTCTTACCAGTGGCAACAAGCAACCATCCAGAGACCGACTACAAGAACAAAGACTGGGTTTTTATCAATTACACCTACAAGCGTTTTGAAGGTCTGACAGCTCGAGGAGCAATACCATCCTATATGAAAGCAGGAAAGTAATCAATCTTTACCTGGGACGACTTCTGAGCCGTGGAATTCTCTTCCTGTACTTTGGGTTTAGACCCATAAAATAACTTTTTTTTAAAGAAAATTTGAGGGCTATCAACTCTTGGAGAAGACTTCAGGACCCTGTTTTGTTACACAGCCTGGTTGTTACTAAGGATTTTTTCTTTCTGCGCCATTGAAAAATTCCACAAAATGTTTGCATCATCTCTGCTGCAAGCACGTTTTGCTGCTTCAGGAGCAAGAGTTTCAGTTTTCTGTGTAAATTCTTTGCCAGATTGTACAGCCCATCGGGAGATGAGAGCAAGCCTTCACTTTGACATTGCAAAGCAAGCACGTGAAGTTTATAGGGACTGTTTTGCCAGTCCTGCGTTAAGTGACAAACTCAGTCTGCCAATTCTGCCAGCACTGTTTTTCCAGTGGCGAAGGACTTCAGTACAGAGGAAACAAAGCAATAATTAAAGCTTGAGATAGACAACTCTCCAGCAGGCTATTTAGTAGAAGGACACAACTTGTATTGCCTTAACCTTAGTTTGTAGCTGTTTTTGTTTTGTTTTGTTTTATAATGCTCCTCGGAAGCCCCTTTAATAGCATTTCTCAACTCTGTCGCAGTGGCCTCCAGTTGCGGTGCACTTTACTTTTGGTACTTAGACAGCAACCCTGAAGCCATTTAATATTTTTTTTTTCTAAATTAAAAAATTGTGCAACACTTCTTTTCCAGACAGTGACAGGAGAAACGGGCCACTTCCTCCACGAAGCACCAACAGTTTTCAGTGACTGTATGACAAGATGGATCGATAAACCACGCAGACGATGCAAACTACAGCTGGTAACACAAGAGGATCTGGAGTTAGAGCAGAGAGGGAGGGGAATCCATTGAACCTGATCCTTGGGGGCATCTTGTGTACAACTGGGTCAGCCATGAGGCTTCCCGGTCCTGCTGCTGCCATCTTTTGGCCACTTCTAAGATCTGCATCTTCATCCATTTAAAGACAAAACTGTCTTTTGTGGCCTTTTTGCTCTTGGTTTGAAGCAGAACAGTATCAGATTGTTCTGTGAGGCTTGCTGACGGAGGCCTCCCTGGCTTTTCCTTTCAGAGCTCCTCTTGTTGTCATGGCTGAACCATCTGTCCCTGTAGTCTTCCAAAGAGACAGTGCCTCCTGGGGTCACTTTTGGGGCAGTGGAACCCACCATGTCCACTCTTTAATTATTCATTTATAAAAAGTACATTCAGTTACGATCAGGTTGCTCTCCAGGAGAGCCCCAAAGTGCCTTTCCTTGCCTAGGCATCTCTCGGAACATGATTGCATTTTGGGAAGGAGGATTCGGCCTCTGCTGAGCTTTTGCTAATTCCTTTTTTATAATTGTGAGCTCCAGTTCGCGCCCGTTTTGTAGGTAACTCTGCACTTCCAGGGGCAAGTGGCATTAACCTTTGGGCCTGCCTGGTTCCAGTCTTTAATTTGCAATTAGATTTTTTTTTTTAAAAAATAGAAATATAATGAGGTTTCTAAAAGAGTGTGTCAATTTGGACTGTCTTGGATTCTTGCAAACTTTTATTGGTGCTGAACACTAACCTACGTAGCACAGACAAAACCACCCGGCTGTTCAGAAGCAAAGCGAGAGCAGTGTTTCAAAAGGAAAAGGAAGGCTTTCAGTCATATTTAGTCCTAACTTTCTAGATTAGGAAATGAAAGAAAATGGGTTTGTAGTCAAACTTTTTTTTTTTTTAAATAGGTGCTTTTAGGGAATTTTTACCTAGATGTCTCTTGAATTGAGTGCCATCATGAAGGACTGACCGGGGGATCGGAAGGACTGTATATAGCTAAAACTGGGTGATACCTTGTTAGCATCCACTCCCTCACCACCCCTTGTGCTTTGTGCCTGTGTCCTAGGAGTTCACGGAATTGCCATAAGCAGTTTAGATACCAGTTGGATCCTACAGAGCTGAAAAGCAAAACCAGCCTTAACTAGAAGTACCGGGATCACTGTAGTCAGTAGGGCTTACTCGGGTGAATAAGGGCTAACTGAAGCAGTGATTTATAGGATCAGGCTTTTTATCAACTAGTCAGTGATGTCACCTTCTGCTCCCTTTTTATGAAGGACTGATACCAACTTCTCAAATGGCTCCAGCTCCTTATCCTGCAGGTTCTTCTAGCCATTTGAAAATGATGCCTTACAAACCATTGGAAAACTAAGAGGTATTAATAACAAAACACTTCCTAAAAAATTCCTAACAGCTTGGTTACTGCCTTAAAATAAAGTAAAATTAAAAAAAATCAAAATCCTTTAAAGCTGCTGTGGATTAAGAATAATTGGTTTTGGGATAGTAGCTGCATTATTAGCCCTTTACTAAAAGGGACTGGCATTTTTATTTATAAATACCAAAGATGATGAAGCTAAATGATTATAAGTTGTGATAACTTGCTGTGAAAAAAAAATATATAGTACTATGTATTGTGCATTTCTAGTGCATGTGTTTTAAAGTCTTCTGAAACCTCAGATTGTTCACGTTTTGAGTTAAAGGTGAAGCTTTTCAAAGGCACGAGGAGCAGTTGGGTACCTCACTCCTGTGTCTTTCAGTAGAAGTTGGATATCTTTGAATACAGTCCTCTTGGACACACCTCTCCAGCGGTAGGTTCTGTAGCGCAGCGGCGTTGTAAGCCTGCTTCCTCTTACAGTTGTTCACCAACACTAGGAGAAAAAGTACAGTCTCTTCTTCCCAGGATCCCTACTTCACTGCTAACAGATTTTTGTGTGCCTGTTCCATCTCCCATGTCAGCCAAACGTTTTCCTTAGCTGCTGGCTTGTGTATTGAGGTTGTATGTATCTTTTAGCTTTTTTTTTAAAGCTGCAAGCAGTTGCTGGACTTCTAGGAGTAATTCCGGTCTGAATTTCCAATGGATCTGAACGTGAGTTATGCTGCCAGTTCATCTCTGTATCGTGCCTAGCACAAAACTGCACTAAGTGTTTCTTATCACTGTGCCCTGACTCTGCCTTAACCTGTAAGTTGAAAAAGTGTTCTGTAAATATTTAAAAGCTGTTACTAAATTGCACTGTAAACTTTGGCAGGTGTGTTGTGTGTTGCTGGGGGAGCCAACTTTTTATGGAACGATCTTTGCATTGTGTTGTGTAAATAAAATCCTCTTAGTAAACATGATTTTGCTGGCATGTTCTGTTTATACAAACTGGAATCTCTCAGGTTAGTTCTCCCCCAGCTTGAAACCGATTTTAGAATCGACTGCTTGGGTAGGAGAATGCAATGGAAACTCCGGGCTGAAGACTGCATTTCCAAAGGATGCACAGCAGGGGTGAAGAAACAAGCCCACTCTTAAAGGTGAAACAGTGCTGGTCTTGAGAAGGAAACCTTTCTGGCAGAATGGGCCTGGCCTCCTGGCAAGGGTGGACAACCCTGGCCTTACTCCTGCCTTGGTGTCTGCATTGTGTAAATGTCACTTTGGTTTACCAACTTCAGGGCAAGTTGGTTTTAATTTTTTCCCCTTTCTATTTTTAAAAGGGATAATAAGCAGTGAGCAAATGGCATTGGAAGCAAAGCGACCAGCCTTCATTTTTTTTCCCCAAGAGTTTGTAACATGCCAAAATCAACTTGCAGTTCGTATTTCATGGTTTCACCCTCGCAACAGCTCCACATGTGAGTACAAGTTCCTGTTGTCACTTCAGTAATTCCACTAAAGTCTACCTTGTTCAAACCCCAACACCTTCATCAAGAAAACCCTAATATATCCAACCCTGAAAATATAAATAAAAAAAAGCCAGACCTGTTCCAAAGCTGTTTTCTTCTCAAGGCAGAAGTAGGTAGAAGCAGAAAGCATCAGGGTGCTAACCACCACCAGCACTCGGCCCTGTTCCAGACGCTGCGTAGTTTGGGGGTTACGCAGCATTGACTCGTACCTGCTTTTGGAACATCCCTGCAGTGAGCTGGTAACCTCTGAGCTCTGCTCAGCACAAAGGGTAGTAACACTTCTGTGCTGCTGCTGTGCAAGGTCCCTGCCACAGCAACCACACTCTGATGTGAAACTACTTCAAAGGTTTTGGGGTCACGAGCCCCACTTGCTGGATGAAGCAAGGAAACCAAACCTTCGAGCGCTCTATTCCCTGCCCGTTCTTCTACTCCACATTTAAAACAATTTTTAAGAGAGCCAAACAAGCCACAGGTAATTTATACTTTAATACAGAAAAGAAACCATACATCTGTAGTTCATACACACCACGGGTAACACTTCAGTACATCTAGAATAAGACAAAACTTGACATTGTAGAAGTAGGTGACCAAGAGAGAAGGAGGAAAAGCAAGTACATGCTTTCTCAATTTGATTTAGTGTTCCAGTGGAACTCATCCTACTAAAAAAAATAAAATAATCTAAAATTCATCTGTAATTACTCAAGAAATCCAATAAACTACAGTGGGCTTTTTGGAGTGGTAAAAACTGCATGGGAGTGCCGGCAGCTGGATACCTCCATCCCACGCTGACGGTCCAGCTGGTTACACAGAGCACCAAGCGGCCCCTACGAGGCAGCCACAGCCTTTACCTCTCAGGCAAGGGCCTGTTGCAGTGAAGTGCCTGCGGTCGCTATTTCTCATAAACTGGCCCGAATCCTTCAGGAGGCTTAGCTAACACTGGGCACACGGACAGACACCGGTGGGATTTGGAGTGGCTGAACGTGGTACTGAGCTGTCAGATCCCACACGGTGCCGTCGAAGTCAGATGCTTGGCATCTGATGTCTTGACACAGCCCTGGAGGGTAGCGCTCAACCACCTCCGCATCTCTGGTCCTTTGAGCAGAACATGTGTAAGCTCCAGTTCCCAGTCAGCTGGTCAAAACCAATAGACATTTACTTAAAGCTTACACTGCTGTAAAAATAAATACACACACACACACAAAAATAATCCCTAGGGCCAAGCTCCATCATCGCCTGGCAGACAGTCTCACCAGTGCCTTTGCTTGACTTGTGGGAACAGCTCGTTACCAAGGCAGGTAATGGGTTTGGTCTGGCCCCTAGCTGGAAGGTTAATGGTCCATATGTCTTCCTTTCTCTGCTACAAAAATAGAAATTCATCTAGAGCAACAACGGAAAGTGATTGCACACCACCTCTGTGCAGATACCGAAGGACACTTCTCTCTACTAATCCAATGACACACAGGGAGGATTTTTTAAAAGTAGTCAGGTGGACCTGGGCAGCCGAACCCCTGGGACTGTCAGGAAGTCCTGAAGAACTTTTGGAAATCTTCCCATAGGCACTTATAAAAAGAAGAAATCTATTTGTTGCACTTAGGAAAGAAGCTAAGAACAGAAACACTGCAAAGAACGGAACCTGTGTCCACACAAATGGGAACTAAATACATCAGCAAGTATATGCCTCGGCAGAGATTTTGTTACTCTTCGCTAAAACGACCCTCATAAACCTTCAGGAAAATTTGTGCTTGATATTGTCACGCTACTTACACGGAAAAAACCCAAACATCCTTATCAGCAAACAGTAACAGCAATCTTCAGTGCTAAGTCTACCACACACTCCGCAAACAGATGGAGAATAATAAAAATGTGCTTGATGATGCCACAAAGGATTAAACCTTGTAGGGGCAGACCGATACCTCTACTTTGCCAAGTACAACCAGGTAACTCAACGCGTGTTACAGGTTTCAACAGCAGCTAATTGCAAGAGCAGAACTGACCTGAACTTCACCATTTTGCAAGGGAGCTCTCTCCCTCTCTTCCTCTCTGGAGCTCTTGCATCAGCACCATGAAGCACTCTGCTTCGGGTACGTAACCCCCCCCCAGCCGTCAGAAACGAGGGCTCGGTAAGGCAGGCCCGCTCCGGTTGCTGTGCAGCTCGGCTGTACTGCCCTCACCCTCTGCTGATCAGGGCTGGGTAAGCAAGCCCACAGGTAACTCCATGCTGCAGGGACAGGACTAGCCAGGCTCTAACAGAACTAACCGAGATAAACCAGCCCGGGGGGTGTCTATACTTAGTGCCACACCTTTGTTGGCCCTGAATCCAAAATGAACAGAGACCACAGACTAGGGTAATACACTCGGAGCAGCAAAGGAGAGTTGTGCCTAGGTACATGTCTGTATCTCTGCTGAAGGCTGGTTTGCTATTGGTATTTCTTACCTTCCTGGCAGCAAACTGGTCCAATCAGGTCCAAATTGGGAAGACAGTAGCTGGCCTTTTAAAGCTGCAACAGTAGAGTGCTCCTTGCAGTCTACAAAAACTTTGACTGGCCAGGGTTGCTGACACCAAGGATTTTACTCAGGTAGTAAACTCTACTGGGAGCTCCTCCACTGGCTTTGTTGTCTTAGCAGGAGGATGGAGGAGACAAATGAAGGTCTTTAGCATGCACAGTCACCTCTAAAAAGCTTTTTACATCTATTAGGCTACTAAACAGATCTACTTTGTTGGTAAAGTATCAACTACAGTCTTGTCTTTTCAGCTTTTTCCTTCAGCATGATCTACTTGTCTTACTGAACTTAACGGACAACATCTCCAAAAACAGTGATTCCATCTTATGGAGAAGTACACGTGGGACATGCCTGTGAATAGGTATATGCCTCCTATTAAACTAGTTCATCCTTCCCTAGAACAGCAGTACAACACGCTGGGTGCAAAGCCAGGTGGCAGTGTAAACAGATTTCTCCACACCCAGGATTTTGCTGTCAATCCTCCACGCTCAGTATTTTGCTGTCACAACTGTGCTACATTTCTGCTGGTTGATGAAAGAGTATCATCTGTCCTGCTTTGATGTTCAGTCCTTTGTAACTGATTATCACAAAAGCAAAGCTAAGCGCCTAATGGTAAAGGAAAGCTTTGTCTTGACAGGCCCAGAATTTCCTCTCTCATGTCAAACAAGACGTTTCCAAATACTTTCGCTCCTCTTTTAGAAGTTTAGGTAAAATATTCAGCACCCACCAATCTGGAAGGCTTTGTAGGAGAAACAAACAGCACAATTTCTTTTTGTTTTTGAGGAGGTGCTGCTTTTGATTGCACAATTAGACTATGGAGTGTGGCTCTATTAACATGCTTGAAATATGACAACGTAGTAAAAGCATGAATGAGGATAAAGCACCTTGCAGGAGTCTGTGTTCCATCACCTGGGATGAAACTATGCTGAGACGTCCCCACATCAAGCGGGACTATCTGCCCTGAGCCGCGACTAATCTGGTAGATCGTTAACAGCCATTTGGGAGAACGGTGCGTTTAGCCTGTCGAGTTCATCTACTTGTGGGGGGTGATGCATTATAACCTCATGGTCCTCGGAAACATCATCGCCCACCGTGACGAGGTTTGTTAGAGATTTGCTCCGGACACACTGGAAATCAACGTGACGGCTTTTGCCTTCTTCCTTTTCCCATGACATCTGGATGAACGGCCGTTGAACATAGTTGTAGATCACTTCTGACCGGCCACCAGGCCTCCTCTTCACCTTCTCTTTACAGGTGGGATATCCTGGAAACACGAGACAGCCAGTCAGTTGCACTACACACCTCTGAACTGCACGAAGAGACAACAGGAACCCAGAAGAACAGCCAGGTAGGAGTGACCAGGGGCTCAGGAGGGACTTACTGGACAAGAGCTCACATTCCACATTTACCATTACTGGCTTGCAAAAGACTGCTCTCTTCTGCCCTGAAAAGAGGGTGCAGCATTGTGTGTAGTCATACAATCAACGGCTGCACAGCGTTAGCCATTCTGTGAGCAAACATAGCTACTGTAAAAATCAGATGGTCTCCCAGGACAGAGCACAAATGTCCTCCGAGCTCCCCAAGGGAATGCTTGGATCAGCAGGCAGAGGAAGCATTCGACTCCTGTTTCCTGTTTACTCAGCCCTAACGAGACAAGGCTTGCTGGTACACGCTACACATCTTCATTTTCCCCTCACTTTTAAGCCTCCTGGCCAATTTCAGTTTAACATGACAGAGGTGAAGGAACATGCCCAGCTTCTACTAGTTTCATAAGAATAAATGCCTAGTAAAACACAGAGCAAACCAGGAGATGCCTGGAGTCTGGTGGATACCAGGCTTTACTGACTATGGAGTCCCCTGTTTTAGAATTTCCTTTGTTGAAGAAATACTTTACCTTCAATCCCGATGCGAATATTTTTCAGGCCCCGTTCCTTTAATACAGCTTTGGCAACATCCCGGTTCTCAATGTACTTGAAGAATCTGTACAGCTTGGAACTGTAAAGGACTTGAGAAACAAACAGGGTGATTAGAATCCACCAGGAGGGACCTCCTCCCTGGTTTTGACACGCTCAGCTGTGGGGGTGCCAAACCCCAGGTCTGGTTTCCAAGAACTACTTTGGGTGTCTGTTGTCATGGCTGGGATTAGCTGCACTTCCTCGGTGGGAGGGCAGTGATGCACATTAAGGTCTGGGCAGAACGGGTGGCGATGGGTGTGTAAAACAAAGCGTATTCACGGCTGAGAGGGAGGCAGCAAACGAAAGGGAAAGATGCAGCGAGTGCTGTCGCTCCCAGGGCAGGTGGTGAGAGCAAAGCTCTCACCAGCCAGGTACCCTGCCTCTAGCAGCGGCCAGGTCAGAAGGAACATACAAAACCGAACTGTGTGCCAGCAGCTCCTCCCGGAGGAAGGCTGCTGTTTGGGCAACGGGTCCTTTCCTTACAGCCCGATGTCCGGGCGTGTGCTGACCACAGAGCCAGGAGCGCCGGTGCAGAGCCCTTACTTTGCGAGTACTCCTCTCCCATTGGAGGTGGATGATCTTCATCCCAGTCCACGGTGTCTTCATCTGTCAACACGACAATGTGGCACTCGCGCTCCCCTTTCCTTGCGCTATCCACCATGATGGGCAGAATCAGCTCCTCCAGGTAGCTGTCAAACTGCTTGTGAGCACCATCATTGGAGAGCTCATGTAACAGAGCACCTGATGAGACACAAATCAGACCGTGAGCTTTTAGGCACAGTATGAAAACATGTCCCAGCTCTGCACTTTCCAGATACATTCACGAACACAGCCCGCGTTCTTCTTTAGGCAAACGCCTCAACATATGTTCAAATGCATCAGCAGCCTCCGGCTCCAGAACTGGCAAAATCAGACGTATGAGACCGCATTTCAAACGGGATGCAAATTACTCTGTAGAACCATGACATCACCAATAAAAAACCACCAAGGGCCAACCAATACAGTGGAACAGTAATAGTCTGAATCATTAATTCGTTATGATACTTAACTTGAATTTCCAGCCACAACCTCTGTCCTTGAAAGCACATTTTCTGCCTTCTCTGTGATCAGAGGACAGGGTAGGAAATTCCACCCACAGCCTGTGCTACGATAGCATATACCCCAATTTAGTATAGTGCCTTTCACACATTTGCCTGGGTTAAACGTACTTTTTTTGCCAGCATACTCACCAAAAAGCTGCTCCCAATCAGATCCCTTCATGACTAGGAACTATCTACTACTTTCCAACTTTGGTATCTTTGGTTCCTGCTCTGCCCATCATCCTTCAGCTTAAATTATTGATGATTTTCTGGTATATTTTAGATAGGAGTTATAACCCTGCTTTTAGTCTTCATTTTGTTTGGCTGTAGCAGCAAGCTCTTCTCAGCCTCTGTTACAAGAGGAGATGTAGAATTTTTACAACTTCAATTTGCTTTTTTGAGCAAGGTGTCCAAATTCTGCAGGATTCAATCACTTCACTTTGGATCGATGCAGCAGAAAAGGAAGCTGTTAAATGCAATGCCTACATGAGTCCTAGTGGGAGTCGGCATCTTAATTGTGTGCTTTAGTTTTAGCATGGAGAACTGCACTGAACCAGGATCAGAGTGCTCAACACCACGCAGATGATCTCCTAAGAGATTATTTCTCTCCATACTTACTTAAGTCTTGACATTTGATTGTGTTGAAATCAAAGTTTATGCAGAGATAATCACATGTATCTCGAAGGTCTGGAATTGAAATCCCATCAGGGCAGTTAATGATTCCAGTTTTGTAATAATCCTGCAAATAAAAGGACAGGTTTCGGAGATAAATAAGAATATCTTGGACTCTGACCATTTTTATTTAGTTCTTTGTTTTGTTAACCAACATTTGATAGTTAGAGAGGCTATATATAGCTCTGTGAACAGTAAAAACAGCCCTGCTTGTCCGAGAATCTACGTCTCTGCAGATCCTCTTGAGCCTGATAAATGCTGAGCTCCAGTTACAACTTTTCCCATGGCACAGGGTTTCATAACATCTCATAAGCAATATGCATTTACATGCAACCACAAGGTCAGGAACTACAACAGCACAACGCAAGAAAGGTAAAAGTCAACATAAGCAAATATCTGAAAGGTTGACTCATACCAAAATCTATTTTTTTTTTTT